ATTCCTGCCCTGGGGATGAATGCCTCACCCTAGGCAAGCTGAGGGAAGTGGGGTTGGGCTCTGGGTGAAGGGACCCACCTTTTGGGGTCGTGGTGCCAGGGACTGGCGTGTTGAGCTGCAGCACGTGGGGAGCTGGCACTGAGGCCAAACCAGTTTCCCTCTAACCCCAGCTGAGGTGAACTGGGAAGGGCTGAGCCACCAGCACAGATTCCCTGCTCTGCCTTTGCATTAGCTCAACCCATGGAGGCTTTTGTCCATGACCTTCTGCCCACGTGCCCAGCAGTGCTTAGTGCCAGTGCTGAAGGAAAGTCACACAGCTCCTGGTCCTTCCTCCTCCATCTCCTGTCCAGCAGTGCCCTGGGCTGTGTCAATCCCCTGCCATGTGCGAGGCCTCTGCTGCCGTGCTCTTCCTCTCCCTTTGAAGGATTACAGGGAGTGACCCAGTTTGCAGGGACAGAAGCTCCGTGGTGGCAGTGAGCAGCCCAGTGCTGATAACCTGCTCCCACTCCTGCAGCTGGTCCTGCCATTGGTCCCCTCAGCCCAGACAGGCTGTGGGAAGAGAAGCAACTGGTGGCTTTGGGGTCTTGAGCAGAGCAAACTGTCCATCCCTCCCTTCCCATGTGGCTCAGTTTCCTCCTGTAAAGCTGGTAAGAGGCCTGGCTGGTGGGGATGTTTCCTCCTCAGGGGCAGGTCCATCTTCCCCAGACTGTTGTCTTCCCTGGAGCATGGAAGAAGAGGAGGGCTGGGTGCTCTGGATGGGTGTTTCCATGGGGCAGTGAAGCCACAGGGTGCTCAGGGGCTGCCCAAGGCCATGGTGCCCACCCAGGCTGTGTGCAGATGGATGCACGGGGGGCTGCAGCTGGAAACTGGCAGCAGGCAGGGCATGGGCCAGCCCCTGCTTGCCCCTTGCTGGGTTTGCCTGTTCTGAAGTGTTGTGACAGTGGGATGGATCAGAAGCCTGAGTTTGTTTTCTGGTAGAAGGAACGTGGCAGGAGGATGTCTGCTGGGAAGCTGTGTCCTGAGAGGTGCACGACCCCATGAGCACGTGTCTGCTTCCCAAGATGGGTCCAGCTCCTGACACCCATCCCTCTGTGTTGCATCTCATGGAGATGCAGGTGCTCCTTTTCCCACCCACCTTCAGCCCCTCCAGCTGGTCCCCAATTCTTCTTCCCCAGTTCCAAGAAGCTGCCCACAGGGCAGCCCCAAGTCACCCACTTCAGGGATGTGGCAGCTGTGGGAATCAGCTTTGCCACGGAGTTGGGCAAACATCACCACTGTGTCCCCTGTTGCCCCCCTCCCTTGGTGCCCTCAGGGTGCTGGGGGCTGCAGACTCATCTGCAGGAATACAATTAATTAGGTCGTTCCAGTAATTAATTCCATACAAATCTCACATTGAAACACTTGCTGTAACGAGATGCTGATGACAAAATGGCATTGAGGTCACAGGTTTAAATGGACCTCACACCTGGAGGAGCCCTTTGCCATGGGGATGCCAGTACTGAAGGGGTGATACTGGCAGCTGCTCCCTGGGAGCAGAGAGGGTCGTATCCCTTCTCCTGGCTCCTGGTATAGATCCCTGCCCTGTTAATGGTCTTTAGGGTAATTATGAAGGATCCCATTATCTCCTCAGCTGCAGAGAGTGAGGAGGGAGCCTGGCCCTGCAAGGGGACCTTAGGGAGCTGGTGAGAAAAATGAATAATGAATTTCAGATTGGACATGAATTGGTAATTAATCACTCCTGGAATTAATTCCAGACAAAGGCGAGGAAGGAGGAGGGCGGGGGGGAGGAGCAGGAGACAGGCAGGGAGCTGGGCTGAGCTGGGTCAAGGCAGGGGCTGAGCTGGAGATGTGGGGTGATGTGGGGCAGGATGGGACTGCAGCAACTGGTACCCAGGGCAAGGGCTTGGGGACACAGTGACCTGCTGGGGACATGGGGTGAGGGCAGCCCCTGCCAGGCACAGAGAGGGCTGCATGGGTGTCCCTGCTGGGTCTTGGTGCTGGGTATCCTGCCCCGTGGGCTGTGGCAGAGGATGCTGGATGCCATGGTGGGAGGTGTGGGTGTCACTGCCTGGCAGCTGGAGAGGCCAGTGGGCACTGAAATGGCAGCTTTTGATGTTGGCATCTCTTGGTGGTGAGTGTCAGTGCTCAGCAGACCAGGCATGGGGCTGGGGCCAGGGCTGGGCACAGGTGGGGGAATGCCATGAGCAGTGGGATGCTGCTGCCCTGCCATGGGCCTGGGACCCGGCTGGGCTTTGCTCAGCCTCTGCATCTGTGTGGGCACCAGGCTCCCTGCCAGCTCCTGGCCTCTCTCCTGATTAGCCCACAAGCCCTGAGGCTTTGACAAACATTTTCTCTTTCAGAAAAGCTAATTATCAAGGCAGCCCTGGCTGGTGCTGCTGTGTCAGCTTAGAGAGCCTGTGACCCACTGTTTGCTAGCATCTTGAGTTCTTTGGGAAGCCTTTGGAGGGCAGGAGCTGCACTGCAGGGTGGGACAGGACACTGCTGCAGCTGGTGCTGGGGTCTGGGCTGTGTTAGGGCTGGGTGTGTCCCCCCAGGGATGTGGCTGGTACCTGTGCTTCATCCCTGGCTGCCAGGTGTCTGGTGGGGAAAAAGGAGGCAAAGCTGCCAGGGATGGTGTGAACCACAAGCTCCCTCTGACACAGGCACGGGGGGACGTGGCTGCTGTGAGACCCTGGCAGAGGGCTGGCACAGGTCCCCTCGGCTCACTGTCCCCTCCTGTCTTTGGGTGGGTGTGGGGTCCACACTGCCAGCACTTGGCATGTCTGCAGGGAGGGCAGGACCAGCTGGCTGCTGGTTGCTCTGCTCTCACAGCTCCTTCTCTGGCAGGTGCTGCTGCTGGCAGATGGAGACAGCTCTGGGTTCCTCTACCGCCAGTTGCCTTTCCTTGCCTCCCTGGAGAGGAAGGATGGAAAAGCCACCGCCTACCTCTGCAGCAACTTCTCCTGCTCCCTGCCTGTCACTTCACCCCAGGAACTGCAGAGGATGCTCAGCCCATGAGCCCCTCAGCCCCTCTGCCTGCGTAAAGGCAAGGGGTCCAAAGACTGTCACACCAGCCTGGGAACACGGAGAGACCCATAATGAAGCCACTCAGGGCATTAACTGCCTCGTGGATGGTTCCTGGCAGCAGCAGGTTGGGCTTTGCCTGCACTGTGGCTCCAGCAGCATCTCAGCAGATCTGGTTCTGATCCCTGATACTGGTTTTGGCATGGCCAGGAGGAGCCCACTGAACAGCACCTCCTCCCCCTGCATGTGCACTTACTCCTTGCCTCTTCTCACCAAAGGAAAGGAAAACAAATTAAATATAAATCCAGTGTTAATGGAGCAAGTCAGATGGGAAAACTATTAAGAGTTCCTATAGCAACCTGGGGTAACACTGTGAAAAGCACCTGGATGACTTGGGAGTCAAGTGCTGTTGAAAGCATTACTGGTTATGACAGTTGTGGTATTTTTCCATTACAGGGTAGATTGTAACATACATTCAGTTAATAGGTAGTGCATGCAGAAAACCTGCTGATAACCACAACTGATGAAAATGTGCCTCAAGACCCAGCCTAAGCACTTCCTAACAGCTGCATCCTGTCCTAGCTTTGCCAAGGGTGCAGAGTCCTGGTACAGCTTGAGAAGGGACTTTTCAAAGTCTTGTTTTCTTTGTAAAAGGATGGGCAGGCAGTGCCCTCATCTGTGCTGGGATGGGGCAGGATCTGGGGAGCTGGGGACCCCCACACCTACAGACAGCAGGACAGGCAGGAGAGGGGCCAAGCAGAGGGTGATAAGCCTCCCTGGCAGAAGCAAGATGCCACCACCAACCACACACACTCCCTTTGCTGCAGCATCAAATTTATTCTACCTTTCCTCCCCCCATCCCTCCTCCTCCTCCCTGCTGCCAAACAGGCAAGTACCATGTTCTCAGCATCTCTCTGGCACCCTGGGCCCCCCTGTCACGTCACCCTGTGCCCCAGCCAGTGGGATGCCATCATCTGGCAGCAAATGGGTGCTAAGCCACATTGCCTGCCAGCTTTCCAGTGGGACATGCCAGGATTTGGGGTTGACCAGCCAGGAGAAATGCCTTTGAAGTCAAAGAGGAATTTTGCACCTCATCTCATGAACCCTTTCTATGCTTGTGGAAGAGGAGGGTTTTTATTTTACTATTTTTCTCTCAAGCTGATGTGTTTCTAGAAATCCAGACGAAAACTGGTTTGGCAGATGGCTGGCTGCTTTCCTCTGGGTTTCTTTTTGTTGTTCTTGGTTTTTGTTTTTTTTTTTGTTTTTTTTTTTAACTTGACATCTCTGCTGCAGGGATTGATTTGACATCCATCCTCACGAGTGCTGGGAGTGGGTGGGTGCTCTCTCAGTGCCAGGAGAGCATCCTTGCAGTGCTGAGCACCTCGTGGGGAAGCCCAGACATCTTGGGCCCTGTGGGGGGGCCAGGTCCACGTGTGGCAGCCATCCCTGAGGTGGCACATTGCTGGGGGTAATGTGCTGAGCCCATTCCAGTGCCCACCAGCCCCTGTGGCACAGGCACGGGGTGTCTTTCTCCTGCGCTGTCTTGCTTGTCAGCGCGTCTCCGTAAGCAGCCGCTGGGCAGAAATGTGCTGTGAGCCTCTGTCAGCAGGGATTGGGCTCACCTCTCAGGGAAGAAAACAAAACAGAAAAGGAAGAGAAGTCCTCTGTAATACATAACTGCTGTTGTGGCACCTCAGCCCTCCTATCACCCATGTTTTGCTGCTGCCCAGGAGCTGGTGGCCCCATCCTGTGCGTCCCCTTGGGTCACACTCTGCCCTGTTACCTGGTGCTTGAACCCTTCGGTTTATGGCCATAGAAAGAGGCCTTTTTGCTCGAGTTCAGTTGCAGGACCCCCCCTTGCTGTGTCCCCTGGCTGGACAGGGTGCCAGGACACCCATGGGTGCTGCTCCTCCTTGGCATGGGCTGTGACCGTGGCCGTTAAGCCATCCTGGCAATTCCTCCTTCCTCATGTCATTCCTGTCACTAACCCACCTGTCACTGCAAATGCCACTGATCTGCTGCAAGTGTTGTTTTTAATGGGAGAAAGGGCTGGCAGGGGGTGATGGAGCAGGGTTTTGGTGCTGCTCCAGGGTCCCACACCATTTCACAATATCCGTTTTCCTGGCTCCTTCCCATGTTTCCTTTGGCAGTGGATCTGGGGGCTGCTGGGGCTTTGCCACGGGGTAGCACCAGCCACCCCTTTTCCCCACTGCTGGGAAGGCTCAGGGTGTCAGGAGGCAACATCCTGTGCTCCCCCCCCTCTTCTCCAGCTGCAGAATTGTCAAAAAAGACCCCGAAATGTGCTGCTTTCTCCCCACCATCACTTGGGTCTCTCTCATCAGGCTGCTCAGGAGGGTTCAGGGGGGGTTGTTTGTTACCCTCCTGGGGCTCTGGGCTTGCCTGGAAGCCCCAGCAGCCACGGGTGGGGAGAAGCAGGTTTCCTCCTTTTAAAATAAATAAAAAATAAATTAAGAAAAACTTCCAACATTTTCATTTTGACCTCTCACATCGAGGTAACTGTGCTGCACCTCATCACTCAGCCCACCGAGGGGAGGCAGCGCCGGTGGCCGCCCTGGCTGCTCTAATGAGGCTTTCCCTCTAATTAATATTCCCCGACAAAGCTGGCGCTGGTTCTGGGTCTCTCAGCTTTCATCTCTGTTGGCATTGATGTGACATCAAGGGGAGAGAGGGCTTTGAAAACTGTTTGCTATTTGTGCTGTTGCATCTGCGGGAGAGGCAGGATGGAGAGGGGCGTCCCCAGGCCGGGGTCCAACTCTGCACCTCCCAGAGACCCAGGTGGGGGTGTAATTTGGGCATCCCCCTTCCCAGCCCCTCTGAGAAGGTACTTTGGGCAACATAATGAGGTTTCTGCTCCCCACAGGGATGCCCAGCCACGGATGCTCAATTCACAACCCAGCAGACAACTAATTAACGGGTGAGCACCCAGTTAGGTCACTGCTGAGCACCCCATTGTGCCGTGCTTGGGTGGCCAATTAGCCAACACCTGAGCACCCAAATGCTCCTCCTGCCTGAGGGTCTTTTTTTGGGTATAAATAGGCAGGTTTTGGTGGCTGGGGGCTGTGGTGGAGGCAAGAAGCTAAGAAGGATCAGGTACTAGTCATGGCTGCTCTGGAAGTGATGGAAAAGCCCCTTTACACCCCAAAGCCCTGGGGGAGCCTGTGGTACCCGAATGCAGGCAGGTCTAGGGAAAGGCAATGGCGAGGAGGGCAGGAAATGTGGGGCTGGAGCCCTGCTGGTGTGAGGGGTCCCTCCGTGCCCCCCCGTGCCCTCCCGAAAGGAATCTGCAGCTGATAAGCTGGTGCGGTGAGTTCCCCCGGGCTCGCAGCCTCCCCGGCCTCGGGGTGTTTTGTGGAACTCGCTGGGGTCCCTTGGCCCGGGCAGCTGGATGTTCACACCATCCAGCTCCAGTCGTTCCCATATTCCTGACAAGTGAAGCTGCAGCTGAACCCGCCCAGAGCTTCCTAAAATACGCTGCTTATTTATTTATTTATTTATTTATTTCCCCCCCTTTTTAAGCCGACTGTCCCCGCCGGGGCTCGGGGGGCAGCACCAGACCGTGGGTGGGGGTCTGGGGGGGGCGGACCTTTGCTTAGCTCTGTTGTTGCCTCAGTTTCCCCTCCCGTGAAAGCAGATCCTGGCTATTCCCACCCAAACCATCCACGCGAGGCCCTTGGGCAAGTTCCCTGCTCGGCTCCTCCCAGAGCCACCGTTTGCTCCCACTCTGCCTTTGCCGGGATAAACTGGGAATCCTGAGCCCTGCGTTCCAGGGCAGCGCCCTCCAAAGCAGGGAGAGGGGGAACCCCGAGACAAGCCGGTGGCTTTGCCCCCTCCCGCCGGGCGGTGGAGGGATGGGGATGCTCCCTGCTAACCCGCCCGGAGGAGGAACACGGGAGGGATAGGGAGGGGCTGTTTAACACCCATTTTATTTATTTTTTTACTGGTCAGACGGGGAGAGACGCGGCCCAGGGGCTGTGGGGGGAGTTGGCAGCTGTCCCCAAGCTGGCTGCCATGGCCACCAGCACACGCCGAGGTGTTTTGGGGCTCACCAATCCCCGCGGGGTGCTCAGCGGCTCCGAACAGACCCCGCAGCCGCCGGCCCAGGCTTTGAATGGGTATTAACGCCTGGAGATCTCCCCCCTCCTGCCCGGCAGAGACCTCATCCGCTTCCCGTGGGACTGTCCCCGTCGGCCACCTCTGGGAAGGGTGGGAAGGGGTGGCTGGAGGCGCGGCCAGAGGCCATCAGTGCTCATTAAGGGTTATGCAATCGGCGCTTGGCTGTTACACGGCTGTTAAATCCTCCTTTAATATGGTTTTGGTGTTTACTGACCGCGATAACTATTGCGTTAAATCGAAATTAAATGTGCGTTTTGGAGGCTTTACAGAAGGGCAGAGGAGGATGTCTGGGGAGGAGGGGGCAGGTTTGCTGGTGGGAGGAGAGATTTGGGGGTACACAGGGGGTTGGGGACCCCAGTGGTTCTCAAACGGCCTCACCCTGGGGTGTCCCCGAGGTGCTGTGCTGGGCTGTCAGTCCAGGTGAGATGCTGGTGGCATCTCTGGTGCCTTTGGCTTTTTGTGAGCTGCTCAATGAGAGGCAAGAGATGCTGAGGGCTTTGGGGAACCTCGGCTGCTAACCAGAGGGGAACAGGCCCTGCTTTTCACCTGGGGTTTTACACACAGCTCCAGGGAGAGCTGAGGCTGCTCCTCTCCACGGGGCTGGGTGGATTTGGGGTTAACCCCCTGTGTGCTGCAGCCTGGCAGCAGCATGTAGCAACTCTTCACAGGATCAGCTAAGGCTGAAACCAAGAACAGAGGACCCGGGGGCTTGGGTAGGGCAGGAGCAGGGTGGTGATGCCTGGGATTTGGAGCCAATTCTCTTGCTGAAAGGGCTAGATGTGGCCCTGGCTACTGGAGCTGGGTTTCTGGCTGTCCCAAGGCCACTTCCCCTGGTGCCTCAGAGCTGCTGACTTGTTCAGGGGTTTTACCCAA